TTTTAAGAGAGGGGGAACGGGCCGGCTGTGCGACCCTCCCCCTAAACCCGCTAATGTATGCTTGCCCTTTATAATAGGGGGCCTGGGGAGGGGTTGTGGAACAACTTCCCACCAAGTCCTGAGATTCCTACAATTCCTACAAGTCCTCCCTCCAATAAAAGAGAAGGGTCTTTGTCGACGTGGATTTCTTTAATATTTTAACAGAGGGATTTAAAATTAAGAAAAAGAGTCATAAAGAAGACACAATCACGACATAATTATACAATAACAACAATAACAAAAAAGAAATGAAAAATAAAACGTCATTATCTTAACCACTTTGGAAACATGGCTAGGAAGACATCCCAAAGGTGTCGGACCCCAACCCCTCCACAACCCAACTCCGACGATTCCTCTGTAAATATTATTATCATGACAGCACTTTGTCACTTTAAGCAAGACGACAACATTGACATTTGTTGCATTAGATTAACACAAACTTGACAGATTTAATAATGACAGATGTTTTTTCGAATGTACAAGAGTTGAAGCAACCTAGTTCGGCTTTTCAACTTTCTTCCCTTTTGCAGTCGATCGAATTTCTCAAAAACAGCGTGAAAGTGGAAATCTGTGAAATAGATTTACCGTCAAACCACGTAGGAATCTTGCATCTTATAAATTGCATTACCAGTGTCCTATAAACTGATGTGGAACAATCATGTTTACGGAACAGAATGTACAAAATAATCCCACGTTTATTTTTCGAAAGAAAAGCCTTATTTCACTCTGCATTAATTTCATTCGTTTTTGGAGATTCAATTTAGGAGGATTACAGTGATAGTGAAGCGGGGGATAGGGGGGGGGGTATACTTTTATTATTCAATCTGGAGGTACACCTTTTTCCATGCTTGGCGCGGCATAACATGGATGATACAAACATTTGGTATTACAGACCACAAACAATTACAATAATAATTGTATAATAATATTTGTAATCAAATCTATTTCCGCTTGTGACGCACTATTATAATTGTTAAAGGTATTCAATTCCTTGAAATGAGTTCATTTATGTGAAGCGGGGGGGGGGGGGTAAAGTTGGCAGGAGGGTGAAAGTTTGAGATGTGAGATCACTAAATACTGTGAGAATCTCCTATTATGGTAATTTGGCCCGTGGATTGTTACGTAGAAACGGACAACTCACCCGTAGTGTACAAACGTATACTTACTTTCTTTTTTTTTCCTCCAAAGTGCCTCTCTCTCGGGGCACTACTCAAAACAAAAGCCTATAATGGATAGCAAATTTTTGTAGGTCTTCTAAAGAGAAAGAAAGACAAAAAACCTGAGTTATACATTTTTTTTAAAATACGATTTTAGTCATTTTGTCGATGGAAACAAATGGGAAAGTTGTCAGCCATTAATTCACGGTGACATTTACGATTCAGCCAATTTGAAGTGCCCATACTTATAGTGATTGTGACTTTCAAGTATGAAAAAATTGATTACTTTTTCTTAATTTCATTCAAATTTTCACCAGTCTGCTTTTCTGATTTTTCTACTTCCTTCTAGAATAGTTTGTTATCAAGGTTGGATTTCCATTTAAGTATCGCACTTTATTGTGTGGTTTTTCATTTGTGTTTCCTTCTCCCTTTCAGTCATGTGGTATTTTGGGAAAATGTGTAATTCACATGAAATTTAACGAATTTAGGCACCCCCCCCCCCCTATTTATGAATTGACTTATTGAGCCATGAGATAATTATTTGTGCCAGCAATCATTCGTTTCGTAAACATCTAAATGACACACGAAATAGTGAACCATGCAAAGCTGACATCGCATACAATAATGGTAATGGTGTAATACATGCAGCAATAGAACGCTCGCCCTATCCATAGGATTTATTGCAACACCAATTGAAATCGTTTCAGCATTTCCTAATCTTGCATCTCAATAAGTGTTGCATTTGCTACATTGGCCATTTATGATAATAACAATTATAATGATAATAATGATAATGATATTAACATAATAATTATTTCTATAATAATACTGATATATGAGATTTGTAAGCCGAATTCACTTGAAAGTAAATGCTCAAGGCGCACTTGTGTAATAAAAACCACAAAAAGAGATCACTTAAAAGCGTCAGCATTAAAAACCAAAGAACAGAATTAAGATAGAACATACAAAAATGACATAATTAATTATATGCCGAATTAGACGATTACATTTTAAGATTAAATTTAAACACTGCTATTACGATTCTCTCGAGGGAGATCATTCCTCGGCGAAAACCCTGCATGAGTAAATGTTTATTCCCCCACTTAGAATGGAGCTATTAGGAAGAATAAGAAATCCGGAGCTTTGAGAGTGGGTCAAGATTTGAAAATGTAATGATTCATCAATGCAAGCAGAGACATGGACACAATGAAATAAGATCGAAACTATTTTTTAAACAATGCGTTCAATGAAAGGGCAAAAGAAAGAGCCTAGAATCATGAAAATGATATGAAGGTTTTTGTTTTAAATTGTAAACGAAATAGTGAATGCAGACATCTACTACGCTGCCAATTGAACGCTGTATATCCATAGAATTTATTGCAACACCATTCGAAATCGTTTCAGCATTTCCCAAATTTCCCAAAAGAACAAAGGTGCTTTCCCGCACTTGGTATTAGGAAGCTTAGGACGAACAAGAAATCCGGAGATTTGAGAGCGTAAAGATTTGAGAATGCAATGATTCATCAATGAAAATAATAATGTACTGCATGGGGAGCAGAGCCATGGAAACAATAAAATAAAAGCAAACCATTTGGAAAACAATGCGGTTAATGATGGCCAAAAGAAAGGGCCTTGAAACATGAAAATGCTTTGAAGGTGTTATTTTATAAATTTTGTTATGGCAAACGAAATAGTGAATGCAGAGATTGATAATGGTGTAATACAGAAATATCGAATTTCTAAAAAATTTCCCTTTCATCAATGAAAGTCATATTTTACTGCGTAGCAGAGCCATGGAAACAAAGAAATAAGAGCAAAACAATTTTGAAAACATTGAGTTCCATGATGGGACAAAAGAAAAGGCCTTGAAACGTGAAAATGATATGATGGTTTTTTATTTTTTATTTTAAAGACCCCATATGTGTCATACTTGTTCTCTAAGTCAGTGCCCATCCCCCCACCCCTCCCCTGTGACAAAGTGACCCTAAATATTTAGCCACACGGTATACCCATGGACCTATTACGCCGCTGAACTATCCAAGGGATCGCATCAACATGTTCCCAGTGCGAAAGTGAAAGTTTTTTTTTGCCAACTTGTTAAATATCGGATTACAGATGGGATTGTATTTCAGAGTGACGTGTTTTCCCCTCGACTGAATCAGGAATCCCCATATTTCTATCATGTAAAATAAGAAAAAAACGAAGAAGATACCCCCCCCCCCCCCCAAGGAAAAAAAAAAAAAAGTCTGTGTAACTGATACCATCATGAGAGTCGAGAGGTATATATTCAATTTCATGTGACTTTTTGTTTCTTCTGTTGCCGGCTTGTTGAGAGAGAGAAAGAGAGAGAGAGAGAGAGAGAGGTGGGGGGAGAAAAGAGGGAGAGGGAGAAAATGAGAAGGTTAGGGAAGGGTAAGAGGGGTGTATAAGAAGAACAGCAGACACAAACACCAGTGGTTAAACACTACCAAAGAAAGTGATCCTTCGCATTTTCTCCATCAAGTAATACCACTATTGCCCCCCCCCCGCCCACTACCCTCTCCCGACTTGACCCAACCCACTTGCACACAAGCTCTTCTTTATTCTATTCATTAATCAAATTCATTATGTTTACGTTTTTCATGAAATGTTGATGTAAAATGATTGTGAGTGACATTTTCCTAACTCATGTTTTATTGACAATACGAAAACACGTGACACATTTCTCATGGAGATAATGATCTCTTCCTCACATGAAATCATTAACGAGCACGGAATGACCCCGAGGGAGGAGCCAATATTATGGGTCTCTGTCTCTGTATTGATTACAGCAGGAAACAGAAAAACCTGTTAACCCTTATTTTCTGCAAATTAATGTGTGAGTCTGTCCTTCCGTTTGCTTTATTGATGCCAATGAATTCATGAGAATTCATTAATAAAGTTAACCTATGTTATTGGAGAATGATGTCTGCGTGTCTGTGTGTGTAAAGGGGAGTGTCATTCGATTCATAAAGCCCACTTAATTAGAAAAAAGGGGAAAATAAGGTCCAGCGGGACTGCACTACTTGTAGCTACTTGCGCCCTCTATATAGCCAACAATATTAGTTATTTGAGAGCTGATTTGATGAAATAACCACCTGTCAGTGACCATGCAGGGACGTCTAATCCCTCCTGACCTAACAAGTGCAGACATGCTTTAATATATTGAAGCGATCATCGTTCTTTCTGTGCTTTAACCTACGTTTTATCTATAGTTTGAGAAAGAATATTCCACAATACAAGCAATATCATTCTTCTTTTTGACAAAAACATGTTAGAATCTGTCAGTTTTAAAGTCGCAAAGTTCGCGAGAAACAAACGCAGAACTTAATTCAACTCTATTCAATCCAATGTAGTTTATTAAACATACAAGGAAGTAGTTTACGATGTGAAAATGGTCCTAAAATAGGATAATAATAATAATAATAGCTCGTTCTTATATAGCGCTTTTCAGGACCGGAGGCCCTCACAAAGCGCTTTACAGATAAGTACATTATTACCCCGGTAATTGGATTCAGGCTTACCCGCACACAATGTATGCACATTCTCCGCTCCCTGGGGAGCATTCCAGCCAGGCGTCATTTTTACATGCGCAGGATCCCCGATTAAAGTACATAATCATTCAAATATCACATTTTAATACAAGTCTAAAGCTTCTGGAAACAAATCGTTCATCATTATGCGAAACAGAAGCAAAAGATCACTTGAATGTATTGGCTGAATTTCTCTTTTCATCAAAATCAGGTTTATGTTTATCTTTATCTCTCTGTTTTGTTTTTTTTACAGAAGAGAAAGAAACGGCACCTCTTACTACCAAGGTCGTGGAACCATCACCCGGTATCAAGTATACTGACATAATGGGCAGTAACGAGGCTCGTAAGTACATCATTCCTTTTTAGATATCTGACGGAGAAAGTTGGGCTTACTTTGCATTCATATTTTATATTTATTTAATTACTTCCTGTTCCGTGGGATTACTAATCATTTAATAAAATGAAAAAGTATACAAAATGCTCATTCCTCATGACGTAACGTAAGGGGCTTTACTTTATTTAATATATCAAAAAGTTTGAATTTTGCTCCGTTGCGCAAGTTTTCATGCAATATTTTTAACTTGTAAGGTACACATGATTTATTATTATATGAGCGAAACAAACGTTTTGCAATTCATTGATAAGAGGGTGTTTTCTTTATAGTTAGCTTTGTTTTCCATATTGTTTATGTATCTATAAACAAATCGACTGTTTGTTTTGAGAGGCTTGTAATATATATTGGCTCTTAACACTCAAATATCATCACTTCTTACAATGATAATATGAAACGTGATACAAAATGATTAAATTGATTTTCTTTGTATTTGAAATGAATATCTGTTTTATTCGTCTTGTTTTATTTTATTCAGAAATAATTGAAAAAACTGAGCATCCGGGAGAGTGCTACAGCAGACGAGATATAATCCTTACTGCCTTTGGTGCCGTAAGTAATACTTAGTTATTCTTCTTCTTCTTCTACTACTCTTCTCCTCCTTTTCATTTTCTCCTTCTTCTTCTACTTTCATCCTCCACCTCCTCCTTCCTCTTATTAACTACGTTTGACCTCTAATAAGGGGAAGGGTCGATCCGGTAAGGGGGGTTAGTTGTCGGCAGAAAGTCGACATTCTTGATTTTTAGTACGACGTATTGTCCGAGGTGTTTTAGCCCGGGCATACTCTCTCTCTTATACGCATAGTCAAATGATTGATTGACTGATTTATTCATTTATTCATTTATTCATTTATTCATTTATTCATTTATTCATTTATTCATTTATTCATTTATTCATTTATTCATTTATTTCTTTATTTATTTCTTCATTTTTTTAAAAATTCATTTATTTATTTAGATAATTATTCTTTTACTTATATATTAACTAATTAAATAATTTTAAAAAAAAATATTGATTAATTTATTTATTCATTCATTCATTCATACATTTATAAATTTATTGATTATATCAATATTTAATTCATTTTTTTCCAAACACCCTGATAATTGAATTTCACAGGAGTCCACTTTCAGCAAAAAGCACAGATGAATGTATTAGACGAATCTTTTACAAGATTACCGACATATTATTAATCTTTTCACTTCTTGTCACAGTCTATTGCAGTGGTTATAGTCGTGGCCGTCATCTGGATGATTCGTAAGGTTCGAAAACGATGCCAAAAAAGGAAATTCGATGACCATGAGGGCTACCTGCCAGGTTTACCGATGGGTCACTCACAACCAGTCGTAGGCAACGGGTACGCTGTCACCGGTGATTCGGATGACGACTCGACAGGAGATTCCAGAGCGTAGTCGATGTCGGTTTAACTTTGTCAATCGACGGTTGATCAGGAACTATTCTTAACTCTTTAAATACCTCGGTCATGACGATGTGCTGTAACATGTTACCGTCTATGGCATACAGGGATTTTTGTGACAATGGTCGGTTAGGTGACGAGGAGTACCTACATACTACTGCCAAGGGGCTAGTCCAGAAGTTGCAAAGGGGATCTACGGCCATATAAAATCGTTGGACTGTAGGATCTTTTGAAGCAAATGTTTTAACTGACAACAGTAGATCCCGGTCATTACTTGTCTTAAAACGGCAACGCCGATTCAAATCCTGAGAAATTATGGCCACGTATAGGATTCGACTGAACATATTTCAAGGGAAACTTTACAGCGGTTAATTAATGTACACGGATTCCACTGTATGTGTACATGTTTTCAGTTAAAGCCATACCGTATCAGGAGCACGCCCTCAAAGTCCCCGTTAGCAGTTTGCTCCCATGACTCGCTGCTTTCCAAGATGTCCTGTTGGTTCTCGCATCTAGTCCTCCGTCTGTGAAGTGGGAATAAGGTATGGGGGTACGCTCTGTTGTCAAGTTGAAAATGAGATGGCGCTGTGCAATAATCGGTAGCAGAGCCATCTATACACAGAGTTTGGCCAACTTGGTTGTGTGCTTGCCCAACAAAGCAGTAGTCGCCATATTGTGTCCAACTCGAACTGGGTTGGCCAAACTCTTATTCCAAACCTGTAGAGAAATAAATACATAATCAACTAATGTCGTTGGATTGTTGTACTTGGCTGTTCGTGGTTCAATATGTAGTGACGTGAATACAAGCACTACTAATTTATTGCGAGTCTTAAAACAACAACGTCAAATATTTATCGTTAGTGTACAAAGTATATACTGTATTTATATGCTCTAGAATATGCCTACATATGCATTCACTCCTGAGTGTAAATTTCTTCATGGAAAAAGAAAGAATGTTATCCGTTGTTTCGGATTTTATTCACCACGTGCAGAGCTTTCTTTTGGAGTTTTTGTTATTTTTTATATCTAGAGGCTGGAAGGCAAAATTCCACTGCCAAAATATTTTCGTTAAAATACTTTTATCTTGATATTTTTTATTGGTCTTCCTTTCCATCAATTCACTCTGAGAAAATGTTTGAAACTGTTTAACACCGACATTGGTACCTTAAAATTCTTAAAGTGTCTGAGATCTGTGCACGGAGGACCAAGCGGGAGGATGCGGGGCTTACACTGCCTCTCATCCATGCCAGCTGGGACGTACATTATAACGTACATTCTCCACAGCAGACTACGATATTGCTATGGGGGTATAGCTAAAGGAATTTCAATAAGTGAGAAACTCAAAATAAAACAAAGAATGTCTAATACAGAGATATACATGTTTTTAAGTTCTCAATTAAATAAGTTCGATTCTCAAACATATTTATCGCGTCAAACACTGCTCATCGAAAAAGAGCAAGCTTTTTTCTACATTTTTTATACTTTGAGGAGAAAAACACATTTTACCTGGTTACATTTCTCTCTTATATGTCGTGAAAACGGAAAAGTAATATGTGATTATCCTTACAGACCTCGATTCTTGATGGTAAATGTCGTATTGTATTTCTCTAGAGTTGATTCTAGTCTGTATTTTTTGTTGTATAGTCGCCATTTTGAGGGTTGAAAAAATGTTTCGATATGATTGTTTGGAAAAATACATAAGGTTTTTGTTAACATTGTGCAATAACATATTATATTTTGTAACATATTAGGCCTTAAACCATATAGAAAAAACTGCCATGAAACAAAAAAAGAGAGAAATAGCGAAACTAAGAGACTTGGGGAAAATGTAGAAATGTATATTCATATCTATTTTGCGTATATAATGAATATTTCACTATTGAGTTTGCGTGAGTTCTTATTGCTTTGTATATAGTCTATATATTCTATCGTTATGTAATATTACTGGTTTATATGTTCTTAAGTTCACTGTACATTTTATATTGTATAAAAACAAAAGAGAGAGTGATTAGGGAGAGTACATACGCTGCCTGCCTAGTACACTGTCTGGGCTGTTTCCCTGTCACGCGCCCGAGCAGCTGATAAAATAAAACACCCTCAACGCTAAAACGGAAACAGGCCTTTCTAACGGGTGTACTTTGGGGGATCGCGTGATTGGTGGTGACTTTGCGTTCAGTGTGAGGATTGAAGAAGAAAAAGATTATGTAAAAACTACTATCTGTAATGCTGATGTACATGATGTAAAGCTTGTATTGCAATGTATGAGATAATATGTGTCAAACCCAAATATTTTTGGTTATTATTATTAATAAGTATGCATTGCTAGTATGTTTTATTTTCTCACTCATGGGATTCAAGACTGTGATATGTAAGTAATGTCCAGAATTTATTATGACGAAGCAGGGGCGTCGCTAGGACATTTCGAATAGACGATGATTACACAAAAATAATGATCCAACAAGGATATATCAATTTGGTTATCAGATTTTCAAATTCACTTCCAACAATCAATAGGAAAAAAAAAATCAGCATCAGTTTGGCGATATGCTGCCCTCATGGCTTTCCAAAACATTCCAAATCTAGCGGGTAGATAATATGGAATAGGGCGACACCTTC